AAGGAGGAGAGCGCAAAAGTTGGCTTGAAACTCAACATTAAGAAAATTAAGATCATGGCATCCGGTCCTCTCACTTCCTGGCAAATAGATGGGGAAGAAATGGAGGTAGTGACAGATTTTATTTTCCTGGGCTCCAAGATCACCACAGATGGGGACTGCAGCCAAGAAATTAAAAGACGCTTGCTTCTGAGAAGGAAAGCTATGGCAAATCTAGACAGCATACTAAAAAGCAGAGACATCACCCTGCCAACAAAAGTGCATATAGTCAAGGCTATGGTTTTCCCAGTTGCAATGTATGGCTGTGAAAGCTGGACCTTAAGGAAGGCTGAGTGCCGAAGGATTTAGGCCTTTGAATTGTGGTGCTGGAGGAGACTCCTGCGAGTACCTTGGACCGCAAAGCGATCGAACTGGTCAGTCCTAGAGGAGATCAACCCTGACTGCTCTTTAGAAGGCCAGATACTGAAGATGAAACTCAAATACTCTGGCAATCTAATGAGAAGGAAGAACTCCCTGGAGAAGAGCCTAATGCTGGGAACAATAGATGGCAAAAGAAGAAGGGGACGGCAGAGGATGAGGTGGCTAGATGGAGTCACTGAGGCAGTTGGTGTGAGCTTAGGTGGACTCTGGGAGATAGTGGAGGACAGGAAGGCCTGGAGGAGTGTTGTCCATGGGGTTGCGATGGGTCAGACATGACTTTGCGACTAACAACAACAACAAAATACAATACAGAATATAAAATTTAAATTTAGAACTGGTAAAAATTACAATACTAGGATCATCTACAATAACATTAAAAGATATTATACATCCATGATATATTATAAACATGCCATTTTCAATACCAGGTAGAAAAGCTGGTATATCATAAGAAAAAAATACAGTATCAGCTTTGCAGCTGCAGAATTGGTGTAATGCAGCAGGGAATGTGAGCCATGAAGTCTGTGGTTCAAACCTCACTTTGACAGAGCAACATGAAACAAACAAAACGATTAGGAGTGTATTGGTTTCAAGCTGGATACCTGCATAGTCAGACAGGGCTTGTCCGAAAGTCTTCAGAGAAAAGGGGGATTTGAAGGAAATAAGCTAGTACTGGTGTTTGAAAATAGCCATTTATTATGTGCGAGTTATTTCTTACTCTAGTGCACCAGAGTAAGACATATGAAGACCTTTAGCCTGAAGGAAGACTACTTATTGACATACATACTGGATCATCTTTGCATAATAATGTGCTGCTCTGAAGTGTTAGTGTGCCAACTGTCTTTGCCTTTGGTTTTTCACATTTTACCTTGGCACAGAGTTATCAGGTGCTTTAGGTAATTCAGTAGTCCCTTGGCCTTACATCTGTAATAAGAGGATAACAGCTGTCTGAAGCTCTCCTGCTCCCTTCAATGACTTCACCTCCCCTGCTACCTCTTGTGCTCGGAACCTGTGTCACAAAACACCTGTTTTGTGTGCCATCTTTCTTACTTCCTTCAAAGACCTTCTTATACTCACCTTTTCTGTTAAGCCTTTAGCACAACCCCTGCGCCCTTTTGCAACAAAGCTTAAGCACTTTGTAACTGAAACAGCACATGCTTTTTGCATGGTTTATCCATGCCTTTGCTTCCCCTTCTACCTAAATTTAGAAGGTCAGGACATATAGGGCTTCTGAAGGTTCTTCACGAGGACAGCACTACTGACCCATATAGGGAGGTGTTGCATAGATAACTGAAATAGTGCAAGTGCAGTGCAGCCGTTATGCATATACATGTTAATAGGGATGTTGGCAGACAAGAGACAGCTAACAGTTTTTCACTATCTGAACTGCCCAGGATCATGTTCACAGCCACAACAATGGGGGGTTTTGTACAGTCTGTAAACACTTACTTGTTAAACCATTTTGTACAGCATTTTTCGCATACTGAGTGCTTTAGAATCCTTGTCAATTGGCAAGGAGATCAAGTCTTCCCTTACAGCTTTCCACCTCAATTTAAATAGAACCACCAGTCTTCAAAGAGTTTTGTTCCCTCAGTATTTATGCACATAATACTTTCATTATTTTGAAGCACTTTACATTTAAAGGTACCTATGCCCACATTGTTAGAAGTCACTTTTTCAATAAGCTGTTTCAAGCATGGAGTAGGAAAAAAGAACAGAAAATCATTAAACACCAAGGGGAGCCTCATTCAGAATGGAATTGCTCACTTTTTTAAACTCCTCCTTTTGTCCAGTAGTTTTGTTCTGGTTAAAGCTGTGCTGAACTGCTTGAAGATTAAATAGCATCAGCTTCAAAGCTTCCACTGGCCCATGGTGATTCCCTCCAGAAAATGTACTCTCCTGGAACCAAAGAAAGACATCGCAATCAAAGGAGACGGGCCTTAATGTGACAGCCGAAAAAGTTCTGCTTGCAAATGAATGCCAACAAATGTGAGCTAGAAGTGGATATTCCACCTTTAGCCCCACCTATACATAAAGAGTATTCAAAAGCGCTATTAGGTTTATGCACCAGGAAAGGTGTGGGTCTATTTTAGTGTTGTGTGCTGACATGGAAACAGAGAGCCAGTAGACAGTTACACTACAAACATTTGTACATTTACACTTAGACATCAGAAAAAAATCCATCCAATATCTACCCTTCTGTTTTATGCCCACTGGACTCTGCAATGTCTCTTTAATAAGGGAGCGTCTAACTCTGCTAATTGCTGGCAGTGCAATACAGCTAATGCTGCTTTCAGAGATGCATTCTGGCATTCTGTCCAGTAGTTGCTTCTTTTGGGAGGAGGTTATTATACAAATAAATTTTGTACAGGAACACTTTTCAATATTCATGGGCGCAAACTTTTAAATTATCTGTTTTGTGACAGTTAACAAATGGAAGAAGAAATGGATTCTCTGCACCCTTTTGACAAAAGACGGGTATTACAAAATTGGAAGGATAAACATTCACCTCCTATATCATGATGGCAGAGCACCCAATAGTGCTTTTCATCTATGAATAGGTGGTTTATTAGCACCACCTTCAAATAGATATGTATTTGGAAATCTGTTCTGCTTTTGTTGAAGGCAATGTGGAATTGCTAAGAAGCTGTATGCCTTTCCTAGACATTGTTTACACATATCAAAGAGGAATCTTTTTTAAAAAATGGAACCCATGGGCCCCACATTGGAAAACTCTTCAGAGGCACCATTGGAAAAATGTGTAGGCATTATATTGGGGATCCTTGCCCTAGAACATCCTTAATATTCCCTGACTCAAAGTGGAGTTCCAGGGTTCCTTACAAGCCATTCAAAACCATTGCTCTAAAGCTTTACTTTTAACTTACTGATCTGCCATTCAGTAAACAATCTTCCAAATATTCATTAACAATGCTTGCTTTGGGGCTTTGCAGAGAGTTCTCTTCTTCCTCCTCCTCCTCCTCCTCCATGCAACGCACAGGTACTGGTGATTTCCTGCAGATAAGCATTTGGAATTTAATAAGGAATAGTTGTTTTTCTCAAAAATAACCCCAGACCTGCTTATTCCAGTTGTGGAATGTTCAAAACAACCTCAAACAACAAGCCCAAAGTGGGAGCCATGGTTTGTTGTTGATTTAGGATTCTAGTGCGGCATAGTGGCTAGAATATTAGACTGGAACTCCAGAGATCTGGGTTCAAGTCCCCACTCAGTAATAAAGTTTACTGGGTGACTCTGAGCCTTCTGCCAAATGTACCTCAAAGATAGTTCTCATGAGGATCAAGTGGAGAAGTGGAGAAGAAGCCACCTTGGGTTCCGTGCAAGAAAAATGGTGCGTATAAATGGAATGCAATAATTACAAAATCCTTACTTTGGCTGCTGCTTATCTTTATGTCTGAACAGAATATGGTGACTGTTCTCTCAGAATACTAGAACCTGGAGTCAAGTAATGAAGCTAAATAGTAGGAAATTCAACTCAGGCCAAATACCACAAGGCATGGTGATGCCCACTAATTTAGAAGGCCAGAAAAGTCTATTAGATAAATCCGTGACGTAGAATGCCATCTATGTCTACTGATCACGTCTCTTGGTACTAGATGATGGGAAACAAGAATGAAAGAAGAGTATGGCCTTCATATGATGCATATTTTCTCAAAATGTAAGGAGAGCATATACATACATCTAATTGGAGAAAAGTGTCACTATTGTTTGTTCAAGTTCAGGGAGATTGGAGGTTTGTGGTAAAAACAAAAATGGTGCAGTCATGGTGATATTCTGCACTAAACACAGAAATCCCTACTGCTGGTTTCATATCCAAGCAATACGGATCTTTTACTCACAAGCCAACTGGAACGTTATCCCATGATCTTTCTGCTTCTAGGACATCCACTGTACAAGGGCTGCTATCATTTTTTAGGACACTGGTTAATTCCTCAACAGAAGAGTCAAGAGCTTTCCTCACCTTTGGAAGCAGTACCTTGTCATCATCTAAAATAATTTATGTCATGATCAAAAACAAGTCATTTTTAACACATTCCAGCAAACTACAAATCATTTGAAATAAGAATATCTGAAGTTACAACCCCATTTTCTTGTATTTAAACTTGGAAACACCAGTCTAAAGAGTTTTGTTTGCCTAAAAACAAACAACACTGCAGCACTTTAATGATTTTACTGTGGCATAGGTTTTTTTGTGGACTAGAGCTAACTTTATCAAATGCATGAGCCATTTGTAGTAGATAGCAGATAGAGAAGGAACACAAAGGAAAAAAAAACAACAGCCGGACCAAAACATCATGAAATAAGAGGTCCACTAGGCCGCCATTATTTCTGTGAAAAGTTCAAGTCCATATACATACATTCACCATTTGGAACAGCAGTAATTAGCAGCACAACAGCTCTTAATTTGTACCCATCCCACCTCTGCACAGAAATGTCAGGCTTCAAACTTCATCTGAGCTATTTGGTTAACTCAGGCTGCAATCTACTTATCTGAAAATAATCTGCATTCAATTCAGTGTGGATTGCTTCTGAGTAGACATACAGAAGACTACAGAATTAAATTACTTTGCCATTGAAACGGAACCAGAAGTACATCTAGTTACTGCTACTAAAATATACATTGCTGTCAGGTAGGACAAGCCTGGCTGCTCCTTCAGTTCCAAAATAGTAGATCAGAGTTGTATGGATCTTCCCCCTCCCTCCTCTGATCATCACTGTCCCTTCTGCTGGCATGATAAAGACACACACAGTGTGTGTATTTGTGTGTGTACTGCAGTGGTGTGGCCACTGAAGGGATGTGGCGTTATGCGTGAATAAAGGGCATTCTAGGCGTAACAGGGGCAGAAAGTAGTTTTCTTATAAGAAACATGCTATAAGGATCCATTATCTTTTCACATACCAGAGACGCATAGACAACCAACTGAAACGTCACTAGCAATTACCTCTAAATAGATGCTTCTGCTCTCTCAAACCCTCAGAGGCTAAGCAGACCTTTGGAATATCATACTGGCAATTTGCCTGAGCATTATGCTCATGTTGCAGGTCCAACACACCAGTATATCCAGAAGATCCAAAGGTGTTTGATCTATGTACATTTTGACCCCCTATCAGCACACTGCTTCCTTGGAAAGAGGAAGCAGCACTATCCCCAGCTGATGCCTGGGTAGAACCAACAGTACTTGAACCTGACAAGAGTCCATGGTTTGTCAGCCACACTGGATACTTGAAATCAGGAATGCTACTTATTCCTGAAATGCTCAAGTCAGATTTCTGGCTTGTAAGCCACCTTGGATAGTTCTTATGAAAAACAGATCCCAGGTCCTCTTGTTCAGTGACCTGGTCTTTTACAGAAAGACCAGAATTGTGAAATGAATCTTGTGTGCACACTGTTCTTCTAGTGTACTTGGATGAGGAGGAAATGGCAGCATGGTCTGGAAGGTGCAATTCTTCTTTATTGCCAAATGATGAAGTCCAACGAGGAACATAGGATGCAGTCAGTGACTTCCTGGTTGTGTTGTTACTCCGAGCTGCTGGCCTTAAGGCAGCAGTGCGGGTAAAAGATACAGAACCATCAGGAGGGAAGGCGAGAAGATCATCCGTTGTAAGACTGAGCTTATCTGGCTCATAAGCAATCTTTCTTCTCAAATGTGGACCAACTGAACCAAGAAGCGCCTGCCATTTACGGTTCTCCAAAGCTGGAAAGCAAGAAGTGATTTTGCATAATCTTCACTTTCCAAAATTAAGCAAAACAACAACCACTCACCTGAAAAGTTCTAACATTTGCACTAAGCACACTAAAGTTACAATACTATACACACTTAGCTGGAAGCAGGTCTCATTGAGCTCACCAGGACTTACTTCTGAATACACATGTATGGGATTGTGCTGCAGTTACACATGTGCCCGAAGAATAAAATTATTCCATGCAAGCAATGTGCCACACCCATTACCACAGGCACAAATGTGTGCCTGTAGACAGCTGGTAAGAGTTTTATACTTGCCTTCAGGTTGCCAAGACAAGAACACATAAGACCCATATGCTATACAATAGAAAAAATTGTTTACACACAGACATGTGGGAAGTCAATTGAAAGCAAAATGAAAAAGCTGTTTAGAAGGCATTTACTGAATGTTACTTGTAATTGTATTTGTTTCTGGTCCAGCTGCCTGCATATAACATTAAATAAACCATTACAAAATACCTTAATGAATGGTACTATACCAAAGGAAAGCTAAAGACAATACAAAACTTGCTCTTAGAAATCTGGAATAGATAAGATGGACTTTAGACATATGTGGTGGGACTGCTTGTTTATTAGTATGCATTTTGAATACAAGCAATTAAAATAAGGGATTTCGCAAGATACAAAGCATATTTAAATTACATTTTTACACAAACTGTATCATTTGGTAACAAAAAAGAGCTGCTCTGGGTTGTTCATGTTTGAACAGCTTTAAATCATATATGTGTATACATAGATGACCAACATTTTTCATTCTCTTCTTTCAAGGATCAAGAAGTTCTCATTATCACTCCATGCAGTTTTAAGATTGAAGGCAGAGCTCAATATCATATATCATGATATTGACAAACAAGCAACATATCTGATTCTACATGCAATTACTGTGGCAAGGATTGTATTTGCCCAGCACTGGAGAAGTGAAGAACCACCTACTGATGAACTGATTTTAAAAAAGATCCTGGATTGCACTGAAATGGACAGGCTGACTTTGTCTCTGAAGGAGAAAGAAGACACATATTACTATCAAACCTGGTACTCTTTTTATTATGGGCTAGAGAAACAGGACTTTGCATAGATTTGAATATGTCTATGGATTGTTATTAAAAAAAAATAGGGGGCTGACCCAGTAGGTCTGATGTCTTTGATGTTTTTAGTTTTTTTGTAGATAATAATAATAAAACTTATTTTAAAAAAAGATTGAAGGCAGAGCTGAAATTCCTAGGCATCAACAGGGAAGTTAATGCTGTAATCTTGTTATCAAAATGGGAGTACATCCCAATAAATATATATTCCATATATGCCCGCCCGCCCCTTGAGATCAGCGGGAGAGGCCCTTCTCCAGGAACCCTCTGTGAAGGAAATTAGGAGGGTAGGTACTCGGAGGAGGCCTTTCTCTGCAGTGGCGCCCAATCTATGGAATGCACTCCCCAGAGAGGTCCGCCTGGTGCCATCGTTATTTGTTTTTCAGCGCCAGGCCAAGACCTTTTTATTCAAACGTTATTTTAATTGTTAATATTATATATTCATTTTATTCTTTGGCCAGGGCGACTTAATTTATACTGTTAAATTATATTGTTTTATATTTGTTAGTTATTTATGATTGTGAGCCGCCCTGGGGCTTCGGCGAATGGGGCGGCATAGAAGTTCCCTAAATAAATGGATGGATGGATGGATGGATGGATGATGAATTTCAGTTAATGCAGCCTGATGATGTGGACAAGGTGCTTGGACAAGTACGTCCTACCACCTGTTTACTCGACCCTTGCCCTTCGTGGCTGCTGACCAAAGCCAAACACAGGATTGGTTACTGGATCCTGGAGGTTATTAATGCCTCTCTGAGGGACGGCCGGGTGCCCGCTCCTTTAAAGGAGGCGGTAATCAGGCCTGTCCTAAAAAAGGCATCTCTGGATCCAGAGATGGCCGCCAATTATAGACCGGTGGCCAACATCCCGTTTTTGGGCAAGGTGTTGGAACGGGTGGTGGTGAGACAACTCCAGGTACTCTTGGATGAAACTGATTATCTGGACCCATTACAGTCTGGCTTCAGACCCGGGTACGGTACTGAATCTGCCTTGGTCGCCCTGTATGATGACCTGTGCAGGGAGAGAGACGGGGGAAATGCATCCCTGTCGGTTCTCCTGGACCTCAGCGGCTTTCGATACCGTCAACCATGGTATCCTCCTGGATAGGCTGGCGGGGTTGGGAGTAGGAGGCACTGCTTGGCAGTGGTTCCGCTCCTACCTTGAAGGCCAATTCCAGAAGGTGGTGCTGGGGGACTTTGGCTCTGTGCCATGGCAACTATGCCATGGAGTACCACAGGGTTCCATTTTGTCCCCCTTGCTATTTAATATCTACATGAAACCGCTGGGAGAAGTCATCAGGAGGTTACGCTCCTTATGTATGCTGATGACACCCAGCTCTACCTCTCTTTTTCAACTAATCCAGGTGAAGCAGTGGCTGTACTGAACCAGTGCCTGGTCGAGGTAATGGGCTGGATGAGGGCCAATAAACTGAAGCTCAATCCAGATAAAACGGAGGTTCTGTTGGTTGGTGATTCGAGCTCCTGGGTAGGTGACTTGGGCCTTGCCCTGGACGGGGTTGCACTCCCTCTAAAGGACAAGGTCCGCAGCTTGGGAGTGGTCCTCGACCCGGAGCTATCCTTGGAAGCCAAAATGACAGCGGTGGCGAGGATCACTTTCCTTCAGCTTCGGCTAATCTATCAGCTGCGTCCCTACCTGGAGGAAGATTGCCTAGCAACAGTAACACATGCATTGGTTACTTCCTGGTTGGACTTCTGTAACGCGCTTTACATGGGGCTGCCCTTGAAGACAGTCTGGATACTTCAGATGGTTCAAAATAGAGCTGCCGGGATGCTGTCGGGGACTGGATGTTATTCTCACATAACCCCAGTCCTCTACCAGCTTCACTGGCTTCCCATCGAAGTCTGGGCTCAATTCAAGGTGCTGGTTATTACCTATAAAGCCCTAAATGGCTTGGGACCAGGAAACCTAAAGGAACGCCTTCTTCCCTATTTGCC